AGGTTTATGAAAAACCAAGCTTGTATAAAACATTGTGTCTTATTTTTTTCTTGACAAAAACGTTCATTTGAATTCTTGTGCGACGGCAGCTCTTCGAACGGAAACTAGAGGTAAATGTCACCTCAGCTTTGAACAGTTTATTTGCAGTGGCATCGTGGGATTCAAGAGTGTAATGAAACATTTCATTTAACGCAGATGAGCCAAGAAATGAATCGATAATTATCATGTTCATTTAAATGCTTGGGAAATAAAGTAAAAAATAAACAACTCTAATTACAGCGGGTACCTACTTGTCAGCCTAATGAACAAGTCTTACCTTGAGATGCCCTTACCATGTGTAACACGAGGGTCTCAATGGTGTTAAGCCATAAAACGGTCAAAAAAGCTAGCCGTTAGGCGAAAAAACTTAACAAATTTTTACCTGGTAGTCGTAAAAAAGCCAAACCTCAGAAAATTTATTACTTAATCACAGTGGAAAGAAATGAACTGTTAGCCGTAAAAGCTGTCACTCCATTGAAAACTTTTAACGCGTGTAGTGACCCTTGTACTCCGTGATTGCCCAAACTGTCGTGTTTATGAGATGAAAAGCACTGTTCTCTTCTGCATTGTTCGTTGAAAGCTTAATCTATGCAGCGCAACCGCCACAAGAAAGATAAATCTTCGACTTCCTGGTAAATTATTTATCCTGTGAAGATCTGGTACTGTCGGTTCGCACATACTTAACTGGCTAAAACTTAATGACAGTGACCAGTCTCAGTAGATGAGAGATACTTTAAGGTTTCTGGTAATACTTGATTGAGAGGAAGGTCGTTATTAGGTAGCCGCAAACAACCAGAAGGAGTTTATTTGCCATCATTATCACCCTCTTCTTGAAAGTCGTTTTATTTTAACTGAAGCGCTTGTCATTTTACAAAAAGTACTAATCAGACGTAAAATGAAGTAACTTTAACATAAATAATCCGGAGAACTATGTATAGGTGTGGAAAGTGTATGAACATTACGATCTTTGGTTAAAAATCATGCTTGAAAATTGCATCGGAACTTATAACAACTGAGTTACGCCCAGTCTCTCAAAAGGCACTCCTTGGTGCTGGGAAAGCGTTTGCTTAATAAACCACGTAGATCTACTAATTATTGATATTTTTGCTTTATAAGTCACAGTAAAGAAAAAATACATAGTAAGAAAAAGCTTCCTGCTTCAAGCAACATACTTCACGAAATCCACTCAGTCATTCATTTTCGTTTTTGGAACTTGGACTAGAAATTAGTCTCTCATAACAGAGCTACCTTTTTTTTCATGATATCCAGAGTACTCGATTGACTTGTTGTATATTTTGCATTGGATTTATATAATTGATAACAAAAAACTGTTTTGGGATCATATGTGCGGTCGCAGTTTACAGAAGACGCAGAACAAAAGGACTTGATAAATGTCTGCCCACTTCAGTGATCGCGGACATTTAAAGAATTCGAGCATCAGCCAGTTCATGACTGAGAAACAAAGAGGTTACTCAGAAAGTGATCGCTTAATAGTTTTCACCAGGAGAGTGTTCACTCGAGTACATAAGGCGGACTCCATTTGACTCTGAAATTATCATTTCCCTTATCTTTAAGTGAAACTACTTGCCTTATAGGTGAATTTTTGGTGAGGAAAGCGGTTTCAAAGACATCATTCAATGACTATCTCTTCAAACAAACAAAACAAATTCTCTTTTTCATGATGGCCATTAGCTTATTGCTGGAGCCTGAAAGTTATTGTTTGCATTTAAATTCGTGTGGACAAAAAGATCAATTAGAGCCATTTTTGTGTCGAATATCTATCCCAAGTCTTTTAAAATGAATACTCGATTTTTAATGCCTTTTATTGATACTTGGAACAAATAAGATTGATATCCATTGTTAAAATACGGTGTCTACCTGTTACTCTCTACAAAAGAATTGTACAGAGACACACCCCCCTTAGTTTCCATTGACTCTTAACTGGTGAATAGTCTCCAGAACAAATACTGTCATGATAAATTTTCATTTTTAGAGAAATACCGTTAATAACTGTGTAATTTAGTAAAATTATTTGCAGAAAAAATTCTAACTTCTCAATAATCGAGAAACTCTTTCTCCTCAATCGTACTATCAGAAATTCAATGGGCCAATTACTTCTCATGTTACAATTCCTTGCACAAACGTAGAGAATAGGCTTTTAGATAAATCAAGTATCGTGAAAAAAAAACCAAATATTTTCACAAACGCATTTTCAATTTTTTTTTTTGCATCAGAAAAAATTATGTGGTGTATTAAGTATTGACTTGGTCGAAGGAGAGAGAAACTGGGATTTTCCATATTTAGAACGATAAGAGAAACAGTGTAGACAGTTAAAACCTGTGTAAATTTCCAAATTGTGGAAACCAACCGCCCAGAAGGCACAATTTTCCTGAAAGATTTTAAATTTTGTGTCGCGAGGATACGAGATTGAAGTTTTTCACACGCGTCATGCGTGCTACATGCTACTTAAAACATTTCGCGCGGGTAAAAGGAACCTTCTTGAATTTCATGTTTGAATTTCATTTTTATTTCCTTTGGCAGCAGGAAAGTTTCCATCAGACGATGGAAAACTGTCAACTGCCTGAATCTTTTCCTGAATTCCCATTTTACGTGTGATTGTGGGTTTCAAAACTACAATTCACCAAATATAAGTTAAACAAACGCTTTCGTTGATGTTTCACCTGCTCAAATATTACGCCTGTCTTGTTTGTCATTTGAGTTTTTTCAAGGAGCTGTGAACAGCTGCCTGGAACCAACTGCATTTCATTAATTTAACCACAATTGGATGTAAAATACAGTTAATGCTACCGAGAAGTCAAGGTAGTTTTCAAAGGAAGTTTACAAGCTTGAGAGTTATATTATCTTACTGTGTAAATTCATGAACTTTTCAGCTGTGGATTCACTTAACCAAAACTTTAAAAACAAAAATAGCAATAAAACAACAACAAAAAAACAAGAAAACAGGGTGAGGGTTGAACTCTCCTATTCAAAGGTTTTCTTCTTTTCAATGAGTTACCTCTCTTTCTACGGCCCAATTGTGCACAAACTAAACATACTGATTACGTGCGAAAATAAACCTGTCTGATTTGATGTTTTCTGTTTATTTTTGAGCGATGGTCAATCCGTCACTTCCTTTAAAAAAGAGAAGAATGAATTTCATTTTTATTTCGCAAGAATATCTTTTCCTATTGTGAGTTGTTTCGTGCTTGAAGAAAAAGCACGTTGCTTGGTTTCAATTAGATCTCCGATTTTCTTTTTTACGTTGATGCTCTGAAACTCCAAGCCACAATGATACTCGTTTTTTTTTTTTTTGGTGTTAGTGAATGGATCAGAAATATTAGTTCAATGAACTTTATGCGGAAAGGAAGCAATAGGAGCTTAGGTAACAAATGGCTCCAATTGTTATTGAGTAATGCAGCTTTGATTGACCTAAAACGCGGGCGAGCAGTCGAAATAAATGGTGCTAAATATAGCACTTAGAAAAAGTAGTGATTTCCATGGTATGTGAAATTTTCAATTCTGTAAAAAAAAAAAAAAAGAAACTGGAAGCTGTTATAAACATTTTTTGCAGATGATAAGTGAATTTATATCTCAAAGAGAGGATAAATTTCACTATAGTCAAGAATTTATTGCGTAACTTTAAAGGTTCTTCAAGTAATGGTCTATTACCATTGATGTCTAAAAAGCAATTAACGTTTTACATTTTAATCAGTAAAAGTCTTTATGACGTCGGTGTATTTCTCTTTTGCGAAGCAACAAAAGGTACAGCAATTAAGACTGATATAGGAGTGCGCCCCAGTAGCGTTCATTTGTTCTGAACAGCTCGTACTCAGATGCACATCACAGCGGTGCTGAAAACCACGGGAGAGGCCAGCCAGGTATTGCACGATAAGCTTGCACTCAAAATCCGATTTCGTTTAACTTTCCAATTGGAGTACTTACGTAGAGATATGCCTCACCATTCCATTGTGAAATAACTGTGTTATTTACATCTGGACTTTTGCAGGTTTTATACTCATTAAAAGAGATTGAGATGCCTCGAGCTTTTCTTGTGAGGAGTAATCAGATCAAAGAGGAGACTGGCGTTGCAGCGGAAAACAGCCGCAGTAAGTTTTTTTTATTGAATGTATAGTTGTGAATTGAATGGAGAAGTGGTCTAGGATTTTTTGGTCTCTTAATGCGATTGCTTTTGTACCCATCCCATATGGCTGTCTCTAATTAACTGGAAATTTTGCATGGTATGATATTACATTCTTTTTACTATTTTATTTCAGTTTAACTGAATAATTGTATGTTCTGGACAACGTTTGCGCAACAGCGGGTAAATTTTAAGACAGGCTCGAAATAGCTGGAACCGCTTTAAAAACCCAAATGGTGTCAAGAAACATATACATAGCTTTTAGTCTTTTTATACACTGATTTGGACGTAAAGTCAAATATGATTGATAAAATTTAGCCGGTTTTTTTGTGCCGATGTACCGCCTAAAAACTTAGTATTTGCTAATTTTCAAACAAAAACGAAATTCATCAAAAATTCGATAGAATTTCATCCGAGTTATTTTATTTTCTCTATGCTTGTTATCGATACTGCTTCCTTTTAAAATCTAAACTAATTGAGCACGTCTCCTTTTTTCGACCTCGTAACGAACAATCTGATTTTGCAATCTCTTGAATTAAGTACTTATTACACTAATTACTTAACCAATGTGGGGTTTTATTTTAATTCCGCTGCGTTCTGATCTGCCGCAACTAATTAATGCAGAGAAGGGGCTAAAAATTCCACGCTTCTTTCATTTTAAGTGTTATTGCGAAATTCCTTAAACGTGTAAAGCTTTTTTGCTACCACAATGTTGTAATAATATTCTCCTACGAAATGTTTTTTTTTTCCCATTTCCTCTCATTTTTCCAACCCCTCATCATTTCTATTTGTATCAGCAGACAATTCGAACCCTGATGAATCAATGGCGGCAAAGAAAATGCAACCGGTTATTCACAGATCAGCATTTTCTATTGTTCAGCGAGGCTCTATGTACCATCGTGAACCAGCCGCGTCAAGTTACTTCTACCCGTCATTACATCTACCATATCACAGCCATATGACAGAGTTCCAAAGTCTACCAGGGAGGTCAATCAATTCACTTGCCTTGCCGCAGCCAAAAGCACCACGCTTTGCTTGTCACCACCCCCGTGCGTCCGTCATTTGTCACACTGTTGACCCTGTTTTCAAACCGATGTTCCCTAGAAGAGATGCCATTCAACCATCCTTGTTTGACCACAGTACCATTTTCCTCCGTGAAAAGTTTGAACGTGAGAGAGCTTCAATAGTGAAACAAGAAAACAACGAGACACTTCAACAATGGTTCCAAGATACGCCAAACGCAAATGAGGATAGCCAATCGGCGGCTGCCTTCAACCAGGCCCTGCTTTTTTCATACGGTAAAGAGTCGGAGACTGAGCTCAACATCTCGGCCATGTACTGGAATACCAGGCCTCCACTGTGCGACTCATTTACAGAAAGTATGGCGAAGGAGCCAAGAGATGTCCAAAAGAGTGAAGAGAGAGTTCAAGATACAGGAAATTGGTCTTTTCCCCGTAATGTTACGGAGGCGGAGGATTCAAACGAGATTCCGCTTGAAGGAGAGCGGACTAATGGACTGGATGCCAAAAAAGTTAACACTTGTGATGAAAGAGCTGTGGATTCAACAGACATCGCTAATTCCCCCGATACTGCAGCTGTTAGCGAACAGCAACGCATGATGGCGTATGAAAACAGCCATGCTAAAAAGCCCAGGTCCAAGCATAGATGTGATGAGTGTGGCAGAACATTCACTCGCTCCAGTACTCTCGTAACGCACAAACGAATTCACACTGGAGACAAGCCTTACGTCTGCAAACAGTGCGACCGCGCCTTTAGACAGCTTGGTAACCTGACTCGTCACCAGCTTACTCACACAACGTCTAAGCCATACATCTGTCAACAGTGCAACAAAGCATTCAACCGCGCTTCTAACCTTCACACCCACATGCGCACACATTCCGACTACAAGCCATTTAGCTGCGAATTTTGCGGCAAGCGGTTCCACCAGAAAGTCGACATGAAGATCCACCGCTACACGCACACGGGAGAAAAGCCCCACAAGTGCCAGAAATGTGGGCGAGGATTCAAGCAGCTGACCCATTTAACCTACCACATGAGAACACATTCTGACGTGCGCATGTACAAGTGTGAGTTTTGTGGCAAGGGCTTTAATCAGAAGGGAAACCTGAAGGCGCACGTGTACCGTCACACGGGAGAGAGACCATTCACGTGTGATATCTGCGGCAAGGGTTTTACACTGGCTTCAACTTTGAACACACACAAGAGAACACATGCGCCACACAAGCCATTTCAGTGTCAGTACTGTGAGAAGGCTTTTTATCAGAAGAATGCCCTTAAATCTCATTACATCGCCTCTCATCCTTTCACAGGAGGCGTATCTCTGTTGTGAGGATGTAGTACAAATTAAAAAGAGACTCAAACGGCGCGTAGAATCCTCCAAAAAGAAGTAGTACACAATATTTCCTAATTTGGGCTGATTTGTATTGTTGGTCAGAATAACTATGGCAAAACTATAAAATATTTTAACCAGCAAACATTTTGACAAAATATTTAGATAGCTTAAGATAAGATTGCAGATAGCTTAATTTTTCGGATAGCTGAGTTTTGAAGCTAGTTATAAAAATAAAATATTCGTTGATGCTTTTTTTTTCTTAAAAAATCTGTAATTAAGAATGATCTGTAATTAAGAATTTTGGTTGGTTCTTTCCCTTAAGGTGGAAGTTTACAACTAACTGAATTGCTATATATATGTGTTAGAGTGATTTGGAGATTGTGATGGTGATAAATAGATAAAAATGTTACAAATAAAGTTTTAATCTTTACTGACTTCCACAACCTTTTCGTCTGAGTGCTGCACGAGAGAGTGTGGGGTTTGTTAACCTCGCCTAAATTTGTTTTTCTTTTAAAGCACTCTCCTTCACATACAAACGAAGAGGATAATAATTGTTTTGAACAACCACGCATATACTTATTATAATTTTCCTGGCTTTCAATAGATTACCGTAATAATGTACGCCAGGCTTACCCTGGCGTTACCACCCCTTATTCATTAACCCTTTACTCTCTAACCTGATCAGTATGCATGTTCTTCATACTACTCCCTAGACATTTCCTAAGGTTCTAACACGGAGAATTTGTTTAAAAATCAAGAGACTCTTAAGTTGGTGGTCATCTCCTTTATTTTCATGACCTTAATGTTTGATTCAGGGCTGATGTTGTAAGGATAAATTAGATTTTAGTCACTCTTAGGGGTTAAAGGGGTTAACCAGGGAGGGGTATTTTACAGCCGGGTATTGAACATCATAGCAAATAATGGGGATTTCATGATTGGCGCGCACAACCCAGTACCAGTATAAAGAGTAATATGGTCAGTTTCCTCTAAGGAAGAAAAATTTCGTAGCTGTACGCATATTACAAACACCCCTTGATTTCGAAAGGGAACCCTGCATATCAGCAAGTAGTTGCATAATCACAAACCATTCTAAGCTGCAATGGACTTTTCGCCTAAGAAAAATCAAGGATTTATTACTGACAAATCCTAATGAAACATCTTCACCATCATGCTAACCTTTCTTCATGAAAATTAAGAATCAATAATATTAGTTTGAACTTTTTATGTTGTCTTATGGCATCAGTGTTCGATAAGAAACGATTGTGGGTTAGCATTTAATGTTTATCCATATAACTTACGTTTACTTTATCGCAAAGAAAACTTTTGTGGTCATTTCTGCTCTTGCTACATACACAGTCGTGAAGCCGGATAAACTAAGTTTTAATTCCCTTATTTAGGTATTCTTACACCTCTACTCCAAGTCGAACTCGTATTCCAATTTTAAAATTCTACTCCAACTCCAAATTGATCTAATTTATATCTCAAGTCAGAGTTATAAAAAAAATCAAGTACGAGATAATGACTTCAAGATGTACGTGAAGGATGTACAGAGGCTTGCCAAAAATGAAACACTGGTTTCCTTTTACTCTGAGTATTCGACGAGTTACTCACCTTTTACCTCTACTAAAATTCGGTATTTTAAGTTTGTGTTTACACTTTGCACGACATAATAATTACTTGAACCACTTACATATGTAACGGCTCCCAGATTTAAAATTCTGATTATTATATACCTTTTGTCCTTTAATGTTTTGTAAGTGAAAACAAAGGCAGCAACGAAATTAAGAAGAGACGTTAATGCTTCTATACACAGATACAGAAATGGCAAAATAACCTCAAAATTAGAAAAGCATACCATTTTTTCTTGTACAGTACAGTTTGAGCAATGTTTTGTTTTACCTATACTTTAAGTCTTAGAAAAGTATCTAAATATTGTTTGATCATCGGAAATAATCTTGTATTTTATTTTCTAAAAGGGGCGGGCGAAAGTTCTCAGTTTTGGCGATACTGAATGTAAAAGATCCCCTTAAAAATAGTTTTTTCCCTTCTGTGTTTATTTGGACTATCTTCATTTTTATGATTTCCCATTCATGGTATTTATATACTTGATCTTGAGAGAGCTATTTCTTGAAAAGTCTTGCGTAACCAAGCAGTATTTTGGTGATTTTGGGAGTGGTCATGAGAAAGGGAAATGGATAATTTGCTTGTTTCGGGAGTGAATTTGAATGCCGAGAAACTAGTACGTTTGAGTCAGCTTAATCAATCAATCTTTTCAAGGCTATATTTAATATCAAACTTCCTGGTTCTATTTTCTTTATACATTGAGGATCATTTGTTATTCATTCAATCTGCAATAGAAGATTGGACTGAGTTGCATCGGAATAGATATTGAAGAAATTTGATTAGTTTGTAACCTAACTAAAAAATACAATGAAAGAACTGCACTTTGACCTAAGACCATATTAGAAAACTTTATCATGAACAGTTCCTAATCCTTAATGCTCTAAACCCGGAATAGAATATGGAAAATATCTTCAGGGGTTTTTTCCTCGAATGGTGATACTTTTTCTGATAGAAGGAAGCTTTTGTTTCACGACCTTGGTCCACGCTGCATGACATTGGCAGTTTGCATTTTCAGGAACGTATATCTGATAACTTGATGTTAGTTACGCTTTTTCAGCGATCTCGCCTTTTCTTTTGGTCGGGTCTGAGTCACACACGTTGTTAACACCTAATGGATTTTCAACCGGAACAGTCAAATAAAACTGCGGAAAAAATGTTTTTTTTTAATTAAAATTTCTTCTCCCAACCTTACTTTTAGATTAGAGGCAATTGGATTTATGTTTGTTTTTGTTTCCTTTCAAAGGCTGCAGAGATTATTCTTGGGATATTTCACACTCCTTGCGACAACCTCAAACGGCGTGACTGTTTTCCAGATGTTCATATGCAATTGCAAAATTTCCTGTAAATTTTGTAAATATAGGACAGACATATCAAAAATGTGTATTGTAAAATGATTCCCTTGCAGTTTAAAACAAAATTATTTAGCACGTGCAGGTATGACTCTCTATAAGGCTTACAAACTGTTCTTCTACTGCGAAACAGCAATTATCTGGGAAATCCCTAAATATGGATTGTGGGTGTTGTTGATTGTGTGTTGCAATTTAAAGCTTATCACTCCCAAAGGTTGAATAAAACTTCTTCCTTATATCATTTTCATAAAATACTGCCCACGCATTTGTTTGAATAAAAGATAATTTCCCCATTATTTCAACGTTTGTCGCTAATAATTTCCAATAAACTGTGGCTAAGAAGGGTAATCACGTGTGGCTTTATTTTAGATCAGAGTGGCTCTAAATATATCTGGCGTTAAATGAACTTAATCAATTCAAGTTTGAAAGATAAACAGACAACTTTGTTTACTAACTTTGTAGCGAAGAATCGTTCTGCGGCTGTTCTATTCACTTTCGATGTATCTGTGAAGAAATGTATCTCATTTAGATAAGCTTGATAACTATTAAAGCTATGTGAGCCCCAAGCGTTTTTAAATTTTGAGAAAAATTTTCCCAACTTTCTCAGCGCCAAACGATTTGAAGCAAAAGACTTATCAGTTTACTTAGTGCAAATCCCATTCATTTTTTTTTTGAATTGTAAATAAAATTGTTTCCTTACACAAATCTTCCCATTGCGCAATGGCATTATCTGCTAATATACTACAGATATGATCGTATAACGGAGCTTGAACGACCTGTTATTACAAATGTAACATTTTACAATCCTTTCTGTTAGTTTTCATAAGATTCGAAATGAAGAAGTGCAGCTCTAGCTTTGGAGTTTTATGATTAGAACTTGTTATGTAACTTTCTTCACTCCATTAAAAAAAAGGAAGTCTTCACGAAGCTTTTCGTTTATCCTGTTTTGACATAGTCATTTTTCAATTTTTTTGCCGTGGGCGTAGTATGTACGTGTTTTACAAACCTAATTAAGTTATTCTTAACAAATTCTATAAAAGACGATCAGAATTGAAGTGGAACCCAGAAGAAAACTGGTTAATTCAACGCTGGTTGGTGAAGAAAATGCTTTGCTCCAGAATTCTTTTCGTGTTTATTCTTAGTGATTTCATCTCTTGCCGAGGTTTCGAAAATGATTATCAAGGTAAGTAAGTACAGAGAACGTTTCGATTTAAGTTACTGCCTTAGACAATGCTTCCAGTAAACAGAGAATCGATTTCAGCTCTAAAAAAGTATTTCCCCTCTAATTTCCAAAAATTCAATTTTGTTACAGATGCCGTTAACTTAAATGAAGTGGAGATTAAGAAGGCTACCTTTGAACAAGAAAACGCAGATGAATTTGACAAATACAAGAGGAAGAGTATCGTGGGCTCAGATGATAGAATGCGCGTAAAACCTGAATCAACGCAACGCCTGCCATTTGGAGCTATGGTGAAAGTCAAGATCAGTCCCAGCGCAGGGTCATGCTCCGGAGTCCTGGTTGGGCCCCGGCACGTTTTATCTGCCGCACACTGTTTTCACAACGGAAATGAGTTACTGGCACCGAGGCGATCGTTAAACGTTGGTGTGCTTCAGAGTAACCAACGTTTTACTTGGTATCGTGTCAGACAAGTTTCTCTCCCGCGTGCATGGTACGGCACAACCCCTATGAATCCTGAAATCGATTATGCAATTTTAACCCTCAAGAGACCCCATGGGAGACCGTATCTCCGCATCAAAGCTTTCTCCATGAAGAATCTCCAGCAATTCAGCGCCATGCACTTCGCCTGCTTTCCGAACGACAAACGAGAAAATTCAATGTGGTATTCGTCGTGCCCTGTCGGTTGGCAGCCGAACAGTACCACCTACCGAACAGTCATCATGAACACCTGCGACGCTGCTGGAGGTTGCTCGGGAGCCGGCGTTTATGTGTTAAACAATAGGAACCAAAATCGATATGTCATCGGGGTGTTGTCGGGAACAGTCAATAGCAAGGCGAAAAATGTCATGACACGCTTGACCTCGAAAAAGGTGAAGGAAATTTGTCGCTGGATTGGAAGGTTGGCAAAATCAGGATGCCGCACCAGTGGTATTCAATAAAACTGAACGCTTACGTATCGATTCTATGATTACACAAGTTTAATTAAAATTAAAATGATAATTTCAGCAATCCTTTAGTGACATAAAAGTGCAGAATTTAAAGTTAATTAAGATATCGTTTAATGAATGTCAAATTTCGTTGAGGTCACAAATAAATGATAAAATATCAGAGAAGATTGTTCCTTCCTTTGCTTGTTGTAAATTGAATTCATAAGTTTATGATTACCAAAAACATCAACATAGCGAATTAAATAGCTGCAGGCTATCACGAATGTCTAAATAAAATTGCAAACAAAGTTGTCACGTTAAATATAGGTGGACAAAGGTGTCCATTTTAATTCTTTCAAACTATCGTGGAGTAACTAACTGCTCCTCGTTAATCTTATTACACTCGGCAAGTTTTTTCGCTGCTAGTCCATGGTCTCAGAATGAGAAAACAAGATCGAAGTTGAAAGTCGATTACTACTAACACTTTCGAAAACGAGGCGCTAGCTCTCTTATCGTATCGAGCTCTCACGCGCCCTAAGCACGCGCCGCGCGCGAAATAGGAGTGTGCACCGCCCATTTGGCCAGGTTGCTGAGGGAAGTCGCCATCTTTTTGTGGATAAAAAGTGATCGAAGCAGAAGGAAACATGTCTTTGAAGGCTGTGGTTGGACAGCGTGAGTTGAATATTTTACCTCATTATTTTAATTCCTTAAGCCATTCATGAAATCTGTTTTTTGTTTTACTTCATGAAGGTCTAATGCAAGATGTGATTCGCGAAGTCAAAACGGCCAACGAATGGAAGGTAAGTACACAGTAAACTATGATTCACTTGTCAGAGTGATGTAAACATTAACTTGATGGCTGACTGAAGCACCATTAAACACAGGAAATATACTTAATTTGAATTTTTCAAAATAATAGGTTCTTGTGGTGGATCGTCTGAGTTCCAGGATAATTTCATCATGCTGCAAAATGCACGACATCGTCGAGGAAGGCATAACAAGTAAGTTTTTCTTTTTAAATTTGTTTACCTTCAACACTGGAAGTTTGAGCTTTAGAGATATGGTTATTGTAAGACTATCATTGTGATAACTTCTCATCGTTATCAGATAGAAATCCATGGAACTATGAAATAAATTACCCAACGGTGAAACTGCAATGTCATCTACAGAAATGTTGCAGCAATATTGCACGTAAATATTTTACTGTTCGATCAAAATCGATCCTTTACTAGCACTGCTGTATTTAGAATATGATGTCCATTGACGTGATATCGTTTGTATACTTGATACCTTCTTATCATCTTGAAATAGATGTATGAATAAAAAACTGGCTAGAGGTAATTTATTTCATTTTTTCTCTTTAGTTTTTTTGTAATCAGCAAATTGAAAGTTCTGTAGAGGGAAACGGATAATGCCTAGTTGCAAGATTTGTGCATGTACTCATTGTCAGACTGGTGAAGGACAGTAGAATTTAGGTTAATTGAATTAGTTTTGCTTTATATACTGAGTTGATAAGTGAGTTGGCTGTGGTGAAGACATTTGAAAGCTGACATTTCAAGTGTTAGCCCTTATTATTGTGATGTATTTATGTTTATCACACCTGCCCAGAATGATATTCATATTTACTGCATGATGAATTTCTTTTAGTTGTTGAAGATATTTCCAAAGTCCGCCAACCACTACCAACCTTTGAGGCTATATACATTTTGACACCTGAGGAAACGGTGGGTTATTTAAGTTTCTAAAGAAACTATGGTGCTGCGTCAATGGGAAAGCATAACAAGATAACTTTGGTATTATCAACTGAGTTGATAATGTAAATTGGCTGTCGTAAAGAATTTCAAAGCTGATATTTCAAGCATTAGCCCTTTCTCAGGGCCAAAACACTTGCTTTGACAAGGGACTAGTGCTTGATATGTCAGCTTTGAAACTCTTTGCGGTTGCCAATTGACATTAAGAACTCAGTTGATAATACCAAAATTATCTAGGTGGGTTGTATAACTACCTTTACCTCATTTTTAATTTGCCTTAGATGTAGATGAAAAATCACACAAATATTAATATACCAATGTAGAAGATAATACAGCCACAGCAGTTTCCCAGTTTTTGAGTGATATAGAATACCAACAACAGATTTAAATGTGTCAATCAATTCTACAATCAGAATTCTTCTTTAAGGTTTAAGCAAATGTTTTAGAAAGCCTGGGACATTTCAACTGTCAATAGTTCTCAGTCAAGGGTGTAATTTGTGAAAACAACATATGAATGAAGTGTCTATGAACCTGGCTACATGCTATTTTGTATTTTCCCTCTTCTGTCAAACTTATTGACAGCCCAGCTATTGATAGTTTACAAGTGGGATTTGGTAATTATTACCAAGGTGTCCAAGGTGGTGAGGTTTGCTCTCTCCTACCTAAGAAAAGAAGCAAAAAGGGAACCTATTAAACCCTCCACCTTGAACAGTAGTTTTGGTATGACAAGGCCTTACCTGCATAATGGAGCTGATATGATGACTTTGGATTGACAACTTATTATGCATTTTACGACTACACTATGTGTGATTGGTTAATTTGTGTAAGTGATCTTGGTTACAGGTATGAAGTAGTACTGTTTCAGTGTTCTTTTTAATTGAGTAACTGACTTCAATATATTTGGTTTCAAATTCTTACAGTCAGTTAAAGCTTTGGTTGAAGACTTCACAGAAGGAAATCACAGATATAAGGGTGCTCATGTATTCTTTACAGAAGGTACAGTTTACCATGGTGCATAGAAGTATATATCAGCACAAAGTAAATATTTTGGGATAATTAAGAATTCTACAAGTATTAATTTTTGCAGATGTTTTGGAGTGTTCCAAATAGTCTTGAGTTCAAACCTTCTTGGGCAACCCACTTCTCATAAGAAAACACCAAAATTTTCTGCAAAATTTTCTTATTCTGGGGATTAGACTAAAAGTAAGGGACTTCAAATTGTGTGGCCCACTTCATTATTTTTAGGGGAGCCTTTTTCAAGAAACGGGGTCCAACTAGGCTATTTGGCACCAAATCCAAAAAAACTGAGTGCTTTTTGAGACTTAACATGGGTCAAACTTGCTGGACCCTCAGCTGCCATCTTGAAACATTCCTGGAAACAGAAAAAGCCAGGGTTTGAATTAGTGCAGAATCCCAGATGTTTTACCAGTGATGTGAGAATGAAGAAGAGAAAGGCAATTTAGACAGTAAGAGGCTATAATAGTTTAAAGTAAGTTTATAGAGCAGCCATCAAATCAGTGTTGTTGTAATAATAATTTATTTCCAAAAAATAGTATTTATCCTGGGGTCTATTTTAAATTTTTATTTTGTACCCCATTTGATGTACTTACATAGATTTTATGTGGCATTTTTTTCCAATTTGTGGAAATCCTGCAAAGCTGCTCTAGAATAAACCCATTTGCAGATAGATTAACACTAATTTGAAATGTTTTTGAGTTCTGAAAGTTTCTACTTTTTTGTATCGTATCATTATGTAACATAAAAAATTTGCGATACCTTTCTTTCCACACCAGTTTGTCCAGACTCCTTAATCAGTGAAATTGCAAAGATTTCCAAATGTAAGTACTTGTTTGGTATTTCTTTAGTGTACAATGCTAATGAACTGGAAACAAGGTTACTGATATGTAGTGGAAATATGTACACTATGTACATTAAGGTGAAAGAAAAAAACATGCACTGGACCTGTTACAATTTGAATTGTCTTTGCAGTTAACAGTCTTTACAGTTATAGCTGTCACTCTCTGGTGTACAAGCTAAGGCTAATCTGTTTATAAGGTATTCGTACTGTCATAAGCTTTTGAGGATCAATCCTGTGTGGGTTAATGTTTTTATTGGTTCCCGTCCTTACTCAAAGATTTTCTCCAGGTTATCTAGTTTTCCTCCCTCCACAAAAATCATCCTTTCAAGTTCTAAATTTGACCCAGAAAACCTCCTTTCGTTATGCTAGTGTGTCTGCAGGTGTCTGTAGCATAGATAATCATCTTCAATCATTTTGTGTTTTATCTTAGATGTGAAGACCCTGAAAGAAATTAACATTGCATTTCTGCCATATGAGTCTCAGGTAAACTGCTGCAGTTAATAAATTATTGCATGTACTTGGTAACTGTTAAAAGAAGAGTGAATTTTCACAAATTTTTAGTTGTAAATTCAATAACTTTACCCATAGTCAGCAAATGTATGGAGGTATTAGCCAGACTATCACAGAATAAATTTATTTCTACTAATAATGTTAAATGAATGATCCAACTTCACCGTTTGAACAATCACTTGTTTTACAGGTTTACTCTTTGGACACTCCAAAAGCATTTCACAGTTTTTATGGGCCTGAACCATCAGACCAGTCCCAGCGATTTCAATATTCTGAGGTACCTAACTGTTTAAATTTGGACTATTAATGATCATAATCATGATATTGCAAAAAAAGGGAACTACATGTTTGAAATGGGTGCAAAGTTTTGTTTGGCAACAGTACCTCCAGATTTATTACATTCCTTTCACATGCCACATATTCCAAAAGTGGAATCAAAGTTATGTGAGGCTGTGTATAGGGTTTTTATCTGTATCAAGTTCAGAAACATCCTGATGTATATTTCTCTGCCTGGCTTCCCCTTAAATTCTGTATAATCCATTAACATTGGAAAAAATAAGGTTTTACTTGGAACAGTTAAGGTTTTACTTGGAACAGTTACAAAGGGCTGAAAATAGCAGAGGAATAAAGGGCAAAAAGCTGTTTAAAGTTGGAGAGGCTACAGTACAAAATTTGAAGGCCTTCCATGATTTTTCTTTTTGAAATCATTTTTGGTTTCTTACATGTAGGTATGAATGTTGTTGGAAAAACTGATTATTGATAATTAATTCAAAACTGTAGTTAATCAGCTCATTCAAGGATATTGCTATTAGCTTATCACTATTTTTTACTGGTGAGGAAAGAGGAAAAAAGAGCAATGCCTTTTATCACACCAGGACATTGGTCAAAATTTTTGAAAAATAAATAGAACAGAATCTACAAATAGTGACATCTCAGTACTATTTGAGGACCATCTGTTGTAAAATGTTTGAAGGTAATAAAAGATTATTGTAGGATAGTTAAGGGCGTTTTATCTTAATTTTATGCTGCGCCCATTTTAGTTAAAGGTGCAGTTTAATATGCTATTCATTTAATACTAAGCTCTCTAGTAGATGATAAGTGAAGCCTTTTCCACCCTTTAATTAACTATGCCCAGATGTAAAATTTAAATTTAAATATAATATTTGGCATTTTCTTTTGCTGTTGTGTTGTTTACTTCAGAGTGATTCCGGAAGCATTCAGCTTCAAACATTTTCAACTGCTAGTGCACTGGAATCACATTTTGAGGTACAAGGTTGTTTGGTTGAACTGTTTCTAACCCTTTAACAATTTAACCTTTCGATCATCTAAATTATGTATTCAGAACTTGAAGCTATTGAGTTGACTTTTCTTCACTATCAACAATGTTGAATTCTTTTTCAAATTCTAATTATTTTACCTGCCATCAAAAGGGTTAAAGACAGACAGTGAACATTTTATCAATACCTTGGTTGCAATTATTAGTATGTTATGGTGCTCAGATAATGAGTGTATAAAACAAAATGAAAGAAAAATCACCCAAGTTTTTTTTGGTCTAATTTTTTTTGCTTAGAAAATAGCTGAACAGATTGCAACTCTGTGTGCTACGTTGGGTGAATATCCATCTGTAAGATACAGAAAGTAAGTAAAATAACTTGATAGACATGCACAACCAAACCATTATGAAACATTTTTTCCAAGACTTTTTCACTTGGCATGATATCCAATGATCTCTTCTTCCACAGATTTATTTTCATCCCTATATTTATGAAAATGCAGTTTGACAAAGTTACATGTAGTCCTTAAAACTTAGTAGGCTCTGGTCAGCCTTCAATCGCACAAGTGCTGGTTCTGGGAACTTTACAACTGTGTTTCCTCTCAATTGTTGAGTTCCCAGGCAACCACATGAAATTTATTTTTCAGCAGTCCTCAGCAGTTTTGTAATGGTTGTTTTGGCATTCATAGCTTTCTCTCTTTACTACCTTTCTAATGGTCCAATAAGTTTTAATATGTTCCTGGAAAGGGAGCTCATGACTGGGTTGTGTTGATTTTCCAGCTTAGGGTGTGGTCTTCTCTCTACACTAAAAGGCTTTTCGGATTACCTAGGCACCCATCTTCCTTGTAACTGAGGCAGCTATGTAACACATTGTTTTTGAACAGGGATGGTCTTCATCTTGCTGAGTTGGCAAACACTGTGCAGACCAAACTACATGCCTACAAGGCAGATGATCCAGCTGGTATGGGAGAGGTATGTGAAATTCTTTTGGAGGAAAAATTTTAGCTGCCAGTAAAAAAGTGGTCATGGACTTGTCATGCACTACTAGACAATCTACCATACAATGTTTTCTCCAATTATTATCTTATGGCATAGCATATTACTTGGCTACAGAAAACAAGTCACCAACATGGAGACTTTTGCTTCAGATTTAGCCACATTTTTTTTTACTCACCATATAGCAAGTGCTTGCCTCCTCAATTTCTCAAGGGAAAATTATATACTATGACTCTTCTGTTAAGTAGCATTTAAAGCTGGATAGGTCATTACATGGCAAATTAATTGGAATTTCCTTCCATATTTCTTGCTCTCATGCAGTTTATTTTGCGTATTGCAGGGTCCACATAAGCATCGATCACAACTGATATTGCTAGACAGGTACTTCTTTAGTATACCTTCAGTTATCACTTTTTATCCATTTCTACATGCTGTTGTCCTGCAGGAAAGTTAGATAATATTTCTTTCAGCTGAGCTTGTTGGCCATTTTGGCATGTCTTACAGGTTATGTCATATAACTTACCACTATTTTCTATATTGTGCAATTCAATAGATCTTAAAGGGTATTTAGAAAATTTGTAGGAAATTTTTATCTTGATGCTGGATCATCATGTCATACTTTTCTTTTTTTCCAGAGGATTTGACCCAGTCTCACCTCTCCTGCATGAACTCACATTTCAGGTTTGTAATACCTGTTACTCAAAAGTACAAAGTGTATTCTTGAGGACTCTTGTAAACAATTGCATGGACTCTGCTCCAAAAAAAAAATCTGAGAACTGTATAGACCTGAGGTCATATTGAATAATTTATATTTAAGCAATGCTAGCGTGGATGGTGTCTCAAAAGGCAACCCATTCTCTTTTGTCTCCCTGCTATTTTTGTATTTTTTCAAGCTCAGTTTCCACAGTACCATTTGAGAGAGTTTTGCATAGTCACAATGTCAAATATTTTTTCTAAATCTTCAGGCAATGACTTATGATCTTCTTCCAATTGTCAATGATGTTTACAAGTGAGTTTTTCTAACTTCATTTCGTGGAGTTAAAGAATGTGACTATGATAAGCACTTGTTGTCATGGTCACTGTAGTTAAATTACCAATATCAGTTACTTAGATATTTTACTAGTGAGCAATGTACAAATTTGCTTTATAATAGTGAAGGGAAGCTGTACCTTTGCTAGTTCCATGTTTGGTATTACACTACACGTTGCTTGTTATTACTATTGATGTACTATTTGTTTACTGGTAATCTTGTTGTGGTAGATATATTTCATCATCTGGTAATGAAGAAAAGGAAACTGTGCTTGATGGTGAGTTCATTATCATGTTTGTGGCATTGATGTGTTTTGACTGAGTGTAGCCACAAGGAGAGCAGTCATATTCGACCTCTCACTGTAACGGTGCTTCATTCAGCGATTCATGAAATCAGGATACACATCCGTAAACGGTAACAAGACAATAAAAGCATACAAGGATTACCACAATCGCCATTAATAGTTATGGAAGGCATCATCTGTCTCCTTCTGTGCCTCTGATGGAAAGCCAACCATTCTCGACAGACATGCACCGCAATTGTATGAATTGTCGGGGAACCTTGATGAAAACTTTCAAAATCTTCAAAAATACATTGATATGTTTATTTGATACCCAGGGAGAGTCTTGCTATTGTAAATTCAACAAATTACTCAAAAATTAACAGAAAGTCACGGTTCTGGTGAAGTTAAACTACTAAACAAAAACTGTTCGTCTTTTAAGTCATACTTTCTCTATTTGCAGAAAATGATGAAATGTGGGCAAGGCATCGTCATGAACACATTGCTGATGTCTTGAGGTACAGTTGTGCATTTTACAGTAGTTGCTTTGAACTTTATGGCTTCTTTTTTAAAACAATTCTGTCTAATGTTAACGTTATAGCTCCGTTTTGGATAATCTTTGTACAAAATGGCGGCCTTCGTGTCAATCTATCTATCTGATTTTTGGTGCCTTTTTTAACGGTGCGAATGCGTGATAAAAGACATTTTTGAAATCTACCGGTACGATCTTCTATTTGGACAGTGGATGTACTTTCTCTAGTGCCTTTTTTCTCTTTAACTGATAATTATTGGAGGGCCTCGAACCATGATACAATTTGATATTGAGATTACTGGAACCATTTCGTCATTTGCTGAAAGCCATTATTACTTTTCATAGGAAGGTCAATTCACAAATTAAAGATTTTGCAGCAGACAAGAAAATTTCCACTTCTAACAAGGTACCATGTGAGATTTTGTTTGATATGGATTGTCCTTCTTGAAACAAAGAAAAATTTAGGCCTCTCACCGTATTGCAGTCATCTTGAAAACCTGGCCTCATTTTGATTCTCCTAACCCCGTGAGTGACCAAGACAGAATTTCTCCTTACAAAAGCAATACAATATCGAGCAGACAAGTGATGAGAATAAAGAAAAATATCAACCAGGGGTTTATAAGTTGATCCAATACCAAATTCTCCGAACTAACATCGTGAGTATTGTGCGGCAGACAGTAAGGAGAATTACTAGTGAGATCTTTGGAGTGAAAGGTTATAAAGTAGACTATGACGAGGTTTTTTTAACACTATTTTATATATCATATCTTAACGCCTTTATGCTTTGTACTCTATTTAATGTGAAGGTCATTAGTTTAGTAGAACTGCATAAATTGACACATAATTAGAGAGTACTACATTTGAAAGGTTTCCAAATCATAGTCCATATCAGGGAAACCTTTTCTTTGTTTTTCAGACAACAATGAAAGATCTCCAAGTGATCTTAAAGAAAATGCCACAGTATCAAAAAGAAGTTAGCAAGGTGTGTGTATTGAATAGTTTAAGAAAAGGGTTTTTTTCTCCCACATGTTTGTCTGCATTAAAACACTATGAACTTAGTAGCATGAGCTGTGGATGTAGAGGTAGCTTTGAAAGGAAAGTTCCTTTTTATGCTCACAATAATTATACAGTTAGCCAGTGTTGGGCTTTCAGTTTGTAGAAATGAGCGAAAGAGCGAGCGCTAAGAAAAAAACATAAGATGAAAGCAACAAAGGTCTGTAGGCCAATTTGAGAATCATTAATATCAATTTGTGGCATATCTTGGAAAAGGACGATAAAGTTCTCCAAGGTCTTTGTTGCTATGTATTGTTCAACAAGTAGCTGACGGATTGGCCGACACTAAGGGTGTTACATTGGTTCGGTCTTATTCGATACTAGTGTGGTATAAGACTGCAGTATGGAAACATTTTCTGTTTTGCTGACTTTCATGTGGTCAGTTATTTTATATCGTTTTGACACGAAAATCTCGAACATTTTTTCAGTTCATCGTTCATCTGCACCTGGCTGAAGACTGTATGAAACAGTATAACCAAACAGCTCTCAAGGACATTTGTGCCGTTGAACAGGTGGGTTTGATATAATCAGATTAGTGCAAGGGTCGGGAGGTGAAGCCATGCTCAAACTTTTAGTCTTAAATTTACTAATCACAGAAACTGTGCTTTGTTTAAGTTTTTCCTGCCTCACATATAATTGCAAAGAAAGCTTACAGAAGTCAAACTTTTGAGCAATTACGTCAAACTTTTGAACAATTGAGTCAACCGTTTTCAAGGCTTATGCAAGTAGCTTAGAACCTGTGCTTTTATCCTAGGATCTTGCGACAGGAGTTGACAAAGATGGTGAAGGAATCAAAGATCCCATGAAAAGCATTGTACCACTGCTGTTAGATGGCAATGTCCAGTACGAATGAAATTTTCTATTCCTCCTTACTTATTGTTATTACTACTTGCGGAAACATGTACCAATTGTTTTGAAAAGCGTGAGTGAAAAGAAGATGGCTCTTCGTCCCACCGCAAGTTATGTCGCCTTAAAGCTGAGTTCTTTCGCCCTTAAGTGTAGTCACGTCGCCTCACATTTGATTGACTCATAATCGCAAAAATTTCAATTGAAAATACTCAATTCTTGTCGTTTTTTTTTTCATACGGTTGGTGTAACTAATCAAATTTATTTATCCACCACCAAAATAACCTTATTATTTTCTTTACAGCATTTCTGACAAAATTCGGATCATCCTATTGTATGTTATTTTTAAAAATGGTAAGTTTTGAACTCTTTTGAAATGTTTCAGGAAGCTTTTGGACAATGTTTTGTTTTACAAGCGTAGGCTATTTTCAGTCGCTAAATGTATTTCCCTACGTTTTATTTCCTTTCTTTTAATAGGTATTAGCGAGGAAAATTTGGCAAAACTCTGTGAGCATGCGCAGATTCCACCCGATTACCGGTTCGTCAAGCCTATTCCTTCATTTTAATCTTGTTGCATATTATGTTTTTCGTCTACTGATCATTTTGAAAAGACTGAAAACTGACCAAATACAGAGTTGAAATAAGTAAAAAAAAATTTTGGTTCGTTTTATTCGACAGGTATTGTTTTTAGTGGCTAGCAATGAAACTGTGTTAATCAGTATTAAATCAAAAGAGAATCATTATAAATTTTACGGGTTCATTTTCGTTTTCCACGATGCATTAACTAACCTTGTCAATACAGTACGTATTTGGATAACCTTGAATTTGTTTCTGTTGTTTTCAGTGCCATAATAAAGAACATGGCGTATCTTGGGGTTCCCATTTTACAAGATGTGTGTATTCTTCTTGTTATGCTCAGATTGTGGGATAGTATTTCGTCTCTGAGTTTGCGATTTTAAGCTGTGCTATTCCGAGTAATACGTCTTTGCCATAGGACGTAAAACTCTAATTGCATCTTAAGAAGTCCTCGTCCGAATTTTGTATGTTTGGTGGGCAACAGCTGATTGGTTTGTTTTTCTGTGACGACGTGGGCAACAGCTGATTGGTTTGTTTTTCTGTGACGTTTTTAATGCAAGACTCAAATAACCATCGGTAGTTGTGATTGGTCACTTTGGCCGATTTCAATCGTTACACCTGGGTCCGAACCATTTGACAATTTTTAAATTTTTAATCGCGGAAATTTGTTTCTTTATTGACACAATGCTTTTCTTAATTATTCTTGCTTCAGTCTGGTGCAAGGAAAGGAGCAAAGCCGGCAAGAAAAGAACGTCAGTCTTTGTACGAATTGTCACGTTGGGTTCCCTCCGTAAAAGATATCATGGAGGTACGAATATAGTAAACTTTCTCTACGCCTTTAGGAACGTAACGCAATATTTGGCGGTTTGTTGCAAGGAAATCTATATTTAAGCATGGTTCTTGTAAACTATCCTGCGAGTAAGCTCTCTATGAGAGTCTCCCCTACCCCCCCGCACCCCGCGAGAGAGGTTGCTGGGAGGCTACTGTCAAACAAGCTACATTGTTTTTCACGAAAAAAAGAAGAAGCTGAAAAAACTCCAAAGAAAAAACCAAGAGGGTGCCCGATTCCACAGACTTTAAGATTCATGCTGTGCTAGATCTGATATTCAACAACTGCAAGCATTCTATCAACAGACGGCTTTTCTTTATTGTTTCCTCCACTGCTAGGTATTAAAAGTTGAGGTTCTTCCTTATCAAGAGTTAACCATGCGATGTTTTGTTTATTTTCGTTCTAAGGAAGCTGTGGAGGAAAAGCTCAGCAGCACTTCATACCCGTTTGCTTCACAACGGACAGCGTCTGGTGCGATGAGCAGTAACCTAGGTACGTGACACAAAGTTGTAGTCACGTTAGGTCACACTTTCTGCAGAGATTTCGTTATACTGAGGCTACACCTACCTCACATACTGCACACTGACAACACCAAATAGAGACTATATTTATCTGAGCATATGCACCCTGAAAACACCAAACACTATCAGAAAATAGCGAAAATCAGAATAGCGACCCTTTATAGTGGATTTTTATCGTCATATACTCGATTATTCAAAGGAAGCAGTCGTGTAGCCACAAATACTCGAGGTAGGGCACGGTGCGTGAATATATATAATCAGAGGTGAAATTATGATGTCTGTGGGGGAGATGAATAAGTGTTGATGCCTTAACTGTCTTGTTAAAAATGTCGCCCAAACTTACACCATTTTTGTTATATTTCATTTCCTTAAGCAGGCAAAGCCGTGAGGTAAGTGTCTTTTATTATAAAAAGAAGGCACTGTGTTATTGTTAACTTTTTTATGTCTCCGTTAGGACAGATGTATTTTGAAACAACTTATTGTCAAATAGTATCGGACGAGAACCGTTCTAGTATTTTTTTTTTGTAACCTTTTTTTTTTCATTGTTTTAACAGTGCCCGTCTTTATGGTCATTGGCATAAGGAGAAGGTACACCTTTTTATACTCCGTTTTTCATTTCCAAAGACTGCCCCGGAGCTTCAAGTCGCAGCTGGAAAACAGTTTTTAATGTTCTCTTTCAGGGCTCCACCGAAGCTCGAGCCGGCCCACGCCTTATCATCTTCATTGTTGGTGGAGTTTGTTTCTCAGAAACAAGAACGGCGTACGAGGTAACGAAGTGTTGTTAACTTCAACCGATAACAGCACATTTTGAAGGCAAGTTGTTAATCCGGGAGCTAACATCAAAGTGGTCTCAAGGGCCAATCAAAACAAAGGAAATGGAGCCAATGAGAATGCATTGTACAAACGAGCAAAATACCAGTACGTGCTGCAGAAGTGACAAAGCCGCGGTTGGTTTTAGCTTCAGTTTGCGTCTGATTGGCTGAGAGAGGAGCGCGCGTTCTGTTAATCACAGAGTGAAGTAGAGCAAAACGAACGTTCTATCTCTTCGTTTGTCATCGAAATTTGCCTTGAATTGCTTTTCAGCAACGATTAATCATGTTATCTGAGAACGTCGTCCACGGTAAAGAGATCGCGTTGCCGTAGAGCGTTGCTACAGATGTTCTCATGTTCAAATGAATCAATGGCAAATTAACGTAGTAATTGTGAGGTCATAAGAAGCTCCGAAGTTGCAGATCACTGAAAGATGTAGTTGTTTGGGGTGGGATGATGGGTTGAATGGGATGGGCAAGGGTTGAAATGTGTCCAGAATTTATAACAATAGAGGATGTGTGTTATTTATTTTGTTGTTGGGTAAAATGTGGAGATCTTACACGTCACAGTTGGATTCTTCTATCCCCGTTTCCACTTTTTAATCTTAAAATGTATCAACCATTACTGCGAATTCTTGTTCAGTGAAAGAGAATCAACTTGTGCCTTTGACCTACAGGTAACTGCTGCGAAAAAGGATTGGGAAGTGTTAATTGGTAAGTGACCTTCAAATTTAAAACATTTTTTATGTAATAGTATACAGAATAAGGATGATTGCTGGTTGGTGCAAATCACCCCCTCGCTCGAGGTATTTCCAAACTCACGTGACTCTCACTCATGAGAGAAGACGCCGGAAGAGAATTGACTTGTAGTAACTACACATGCTTTGGGTATGTGTATGCAGAGAAAGGGAGGGTGTTTTTATAGCCAATCTAAGTAACGTTTTCATCAGTTTTTTTTCAAATGTGGTGTTTGCCATGTTTATTGTTTCATTGTACAGGCTCCACTGACATCACAACTCCCAACAGTTTTCTGGCTTCATTAAGAGAGTTGGCTGGCTAAACATGAAAACACGGGTAAGTCGGCTTTTTCATACCAGACTTGGTAGAAGTACATATACCTTCTCAAGGAAACCAAACAAATAAAAAGCAGTTGATTGATTTCTTTTATTGTGTCCATAGTTGTAAAACATGGAACGACTCCACAGCTATTTTAGTACCAAGGCCCAGATGTTGTTGGAGTATAAATTTGAGAATAGAATAACTAACAAGACTTTAAGTCGTAATGTGACTACAATTTGATTTATTATTCCGAGCAACACCATATTCTCCACACAATTGTTTCCGCCATCAGAATGCTTATGTCAAATTTGTAGTTACTTTGTCTTTGTTTTAGTGATCACCCATAGTACGACTTATCTTAACCTTAACATCAGTATGGATTTTCTCCATACTGTTCTCTATGCATTTCCTGTAGTACCTATCAGGAGAATTTGTGTTACAATCAAGAGCTTTTTGAGTTTGTGATCATTTCCTTTATTCTCATGACCTTAATGTTTGATTTAAGGGTGGTACTGTTGGGAGAAATTGGATGCTTGTCACTCTGAGGGGTTAAAGGGTTGATATTTCGTTCTTTTTCTTTCAGGTAATAGAAGATGAGAGAATATGATATTTGTCTGTAATTAATAAGGTTATCGGTAGGACAACAATAAGGTGTAGTCACCCTTTGTGTAACTGGCAGTCTTTTTCTTATCGGCAGTGGTGATCTCCTTTTTTTTTTTTTTACTTTTGTTCTTTTTTGCTTCTTCTTTACCTTTGTGCCACTGTGAAAAGACTGCCACTGGCACAAGCTCATGGAAATTGTACAATGAACTGAAAATTTCGAGCTTAGGGATTGTTCATTGATGGAGAAGTTTTGTTCTGTGTTTCTTGAAACATGGTTTGAAGGACCTGTTTATTAACATTAATTAACTTGACTTTTTGCTCATTTAACTTTTCTGTTCATTATACAAGCCAGATAGATTTATTTTTTGGTGTGTCTGCTCAGTTATAAATCACAGACGATGTCAAAATTTGGCAAGAACGTAGGCAATGCACCCGCCTGAGGCTCGTGTTTTATTTTTGGCATAATCGCCACGACTGAACAGACGCGGCAAAATTGAATCTATTTGTTTCCTATTTTATTTATAGCGGCTTTTAATAAGTGCCTCGAATAATAATAAATTTCTACTGCGCTCTTCGTTTGGCTGAAAATACATTCGAGCCATTTTTATCGTTAACCTGCCTTACACGCAGTTTCCTTTTTCGCCTTTCCCTAAAAGCGCTTTTGTCAGCTAAATTTTTTTCTTTCACTCAATCTAGGTTTAGTGATACCATTATTTTAATTTGTTGCCAATATTCCTTTGGCGAATGGAAAACCTTAAGACTTTATCAATAGCTTCTTGTGTACAGAGATCTTGGTCTCAATTCACTAGTGGGGCCTCTCAGGAAAATGTTAATTTGTGAGTTCACGTCTTTTATTTCTCGACCGCTTTTCGAATTGCGTGCGTTCTTAATTAGCATAACACAACAGGTTATTGTTTGATAGTAAGAGTTACCTTCTTTTCTATTCAGTTTTTGCGTCTTGCAAAAACTATCCTAGACTTGAAGAGCGCTAATATAAATGCCATAAGGGAGAGAGACACAGAAGAGGTAATGATGAAGCAGCAGAGCTCTAGGATCTCTAAGAAGGGACAAGAGTTTTCGAGGAAACGATTTGTGAATTACGATCGTGAAAAATTTTGATCATAATTTTCTAAGGTGTCAAAAAAACGGCAGCAACAATGACAGAAACAATTAAATACCACGTGGCAACTCTTGCAGCAAACGCGCAGATCAGTGTGCCTAATCAAGGCATCGGGAGATATGGCTGGCATTATTTACTGGTCAGTTATTGATTTTCTATTTCTTTGTTACTTTAACATAAACTAAACCAAAGTTACTCTTTGGAAACAAAATGTAATTATTATGAACATCAAGCGCAGACTACAATGCAAACAACAATCTTTGCCGGGGCAACACACTTTATTGACTAGCAGAGTGAGACGCTGGTGCTAGAGATATGGAGTCAGTTAATGATTTTTTATTTCTTTATTACTTAAACATAAACTTAACCAAAGATTTGTTAATTTTTCTTAAGGTTAAGATACTTTTTTGGAAATAAAATGTTATTTGCCTACATTTTGTGTGAGCTTTTTTGTGGCCCTCGGCTTTGTTCATTTTTCCTCGTCACCTCACTGGAATTTGTTTAAAGTTTCCATGAGCTCTGTTAGGTTTGTGCCATGCGTGTCCCACGAGTGAAACATTTTGTGAACTGTATCCCTAGCGGAGACATCTCACTAAAAGGTATTATTTTGTCGTTTTGTTTTTGGATTCTCCAGGTTTCCTTCCTTTAGAGAAGCCTATACTCAAATTCCAATTTCGATGTAATTCTATTTTTATTTACTTATTTTTGTAATTTGGATCACCTTCAGTTTAAATTCTCACTGTACCTAAATGTTGTTGGGTTGGCTAGCTATATCACCGTAGATCACGCTGAAACAAGGCTACCTATCGGCAACTGGAACTAAGTTCTGTTTCAGCCGGCAATCCTCCATTTAAACCAGCACCAGTAAGACTGATTGCATATGATCGGAGGTTAGTACGTTTGAGCCAGTGGTTTCCATAACAACCAACTTCTTTTGATTCAGAGGTGTAACAATTTCGTTTTTGTGAATCTCATCACATCTGAGGGAACAACAAATTTATGAAGTTCGACATGTTGTGAAAATTCCGAGGACATCTTGAAAGAATTGCAACAGAAACCTTTCTCCAGTGCCCTCCCTTCCAAAATTAGAGTTTAGGGGAAGAAATGATCCTTTCCAAAGACTTTACTTCTCTTGGATTGCCTAGACTCTATTTTAGAAAATGTGTCAGCTAAAGCTGTGATAGTATGTACACTGAATTATGAACCATGGCAGTCATCTTTAAACATTTGCAGCTTTTGTCTG